TGGTAGCTGTTACGATGCAACACATTTTTCCGTATAAGGTTATCAGAATAAAGTCGAATCGGAGTGGGATATGAAAACTGAAGGGACATTCGACGTTACAGGTTGCATTTAAACCAAACTCGTCTTTGACTCATTTAGTTTTTCATTGGTTGTGATGCATGCAGGCGGCTTTGCATTGTGAGATTAGTAATTGCTCCTCATGAGGTCGCAAATTTTTGTATGTTTAAGCGAAACCTGGTCTTCTGAAGAAAAAACATCCCGAATAAACGACGAATAGGCCAAAGATGTAAAAAAACCTTTTATTGACACGAAGCCTTCAGAATCGTTTAAAGATGTGCATCTTTTTCAGCGTGAAATGGAAGCATCGCACAATAAAATATTTTTTTAAATCGTTAAATGAGTTTCTTAAATTGTCTGAAGCCCCCTAAAGACTGAGCAGTGTAATCTTGCAACTTTGTTTAATTAAAATCTACTTCTTTCTTAAAATGCAAATAATTACCTTACTCAAAATCACAACGTCTATTGTCCTGACATGTATTCAATGATGAGGAGCAATTAGAACCAAATGGAAATGCATTCCGATTTAGGAATCAGCTCTTTGTATGAACTCATCTATGGCAATGGCAGTTTTTTTTGACTGGGGCCACCCAAGGAGGCTCCAATGAGAGGACATTTAGCAGGCAGGAAAAAATTTTTACCCGCTGGAATGTCGGTTTTCCATATACTTCCATGATGATGCGTTTCTGCCCCTTTGGTTTCATGAACTCAATGGTAGTGTACTGATATTCATTTATATGCCCTCAGCGAAGAGTGCTTTTTAAAGACAGAATCGGCAGTAGTTATGTGTCAAGCGCATTGTGTGGTCTCCAGCTTCCTTCCAACAAAGTGATACTCATTTATCAACCTCCGAAGGAAGTAATGTTAATGACCCGTCCATGGCTCGAACCTAAATCCTTCCAGTTGTGATTCTCTGATGCTCGACCGGCTGAGAAATCCCGAGCTGAAGCAAATGTGTAATAATTCCTTATTCAGTGGAATTCGCGGTTGAACAAAGATTGCTTCTCTGCCTGAATTGAAACTTGGCACCTCCACAGTCGAAAGTTCCAACTCTCTTACGAACTGTTCCGTGGCGCCCACTGTCATATGATAGGGTTAAAGAAGAGGTAGTATCATGTAAAACCAGATATGTTATTCTTTCTCGTTATGCAAATATAAAGAGGCCAAGAGTCCTCCTTTTTAGATGCCGTCGTTTTCTTTTTCATTGGAGAAAGAACCCAAGCGAAAAAATTCTGGATGCATGACAGAAGTACATCGCATTAAGCTGCGAAGTCTTGTGAAAGGAGTCCATTTCCTTTGCGCCTAGGCGCTTTTCAGGCCACCCGCATGTACGTGAGTTTGAATTATACGAAGGAAGTGTCTACTTAAGCCGTAACGAAATATGGCCTATGGCGCTACTGATGGGCAATAATAAATCTGGTCTGCTCTGCTGTTCAAGCTCTGTCAAAATCAGATGACGGTGGCAAAACAACAACAGTGATAATATAACTGTTAGGATCATCTTTAACTTACAGACAAAGTGGTTAGTCTTTGGAGGGGAGTTAGGTTCTGATTCAGTTCGACCAAAAATGTCTCCATGTTTTCGAAAGTCTCTATCACATGTTCACTGATAGAACATTCGCGAGTGCTTGACAAATCCCTTTTCTAAACAATCAGCAATCCTTGGCCGGCTTAAGTGGTTCTTAAGGTCTCTACAAGGACATAACCATGAAACTTCGCCGCGTACCCGATGTAATAGTTCCAATGGCTCATTCTCTACAACAGTGTTGGTGTAAACCGATTCTTACTGGTTTATGCCAAAGAATGAAAAGCAGCAATCTGCCTCAAACGTAAAAGTACCTTCAATGCCTAATATTTTCTCTGAGTCTCGAAGATCGAGTGCAAAGAGCTATATGCGAAATAATCTGCTATAGTGAAGGTAGCGGAATGTATAGCTTTCTGTCGTTGTTCATGCTATGATCATATGCCACAAGTCGGAAGCCAGTCACATAGACATGGGCGTTTTTCCCATGGTTATTCCATGTCCATTATGCTTGTCCCATATTAAAGTTTGCAAAGATGTGTTTAGAATGATGTAATGAGGCGGAGTCAGTGACGTCAGTATGATGAAAAGACGATAAGAACAAGTGAGTGTGATTTAAGGCTTATTTGTCCTTGCTCGTAAGCCAGGGGGGACGGTAGCGCAGTGACAAAAGGACAACTTTGAACGGCGGAGGTGGTGAGCTGAATCCGTTCAAGGGACACTCTTTGTCTTAATGGCGAACCGTCTTGGGCAGGGAATTAGCCTAAGGTTGTTTCGGCAAGACCAACTCAGAACCGGGTAGCAGGTCACTGGCTTGGGAACAACAATGACAAGATAATACTCTGATGTGGTCATACCGGAACGGAGGATATGTGGGGTCATGCTGTCTGATGGAGCACCTCTTATAGATACAGGTCACCTTAACCCGCCTCATGGCTAAACGATCAGTGTGATAATCAGCACTAGATGCAGCCAAAAGAAGCAATAAATGACATGTCAATCCTCACTCCCTCCCTGCACGCGCACAAGCAGTGTTTGACTGTAATACGCAATCTTCAAGATACATTTCTGCTGAAGAATGACATAGAGTTTAACTCTTCACTGGTAAAGACCTACGACATCGAAAAAGCAAGAGCACTTGGTAGTGGCATCATTCGAATCGTGACAATCACTTCTGCACCTGTACTTGACCATTTTTTAGTTCTTACATGTTTACATTTGCCTGAACAACCATACGGTACTTAATTAAGTACTTCTCTAGTACCCAATTGCTTTGCTTCATTACTAGAAGAATGTATATTAATTTCATCAGTTCAAACGGCTGCATGAGTTCTGCCATCTTTTGACCGAGCAGTGCGAATGTTGCGCTGCACATGCGCA